AGATATCAAAGACATAAGTAATATTAACTGCTAGTTGCTAAATGTAGTAAAACTTATCATTTTATAGGAAAAGATTTAAATTCTTCATATCCTATACAGTTCCTCTGAATTGACACTTAAGAAAATATTTCTCTCTCGTTAATTTGTATGGGTTCCTTCATTAGCCAAGGAGCACTTAACTATTTTATTTCGCCCCTTTCGTTGTATAGTAGGAAATTCAGAGCCATTTTTACCTCAGTTTCAGTATAAAAGTCCACACCTAGATTGTTGGGCAGTGATAAATTCTTTCCTTGCCCCCTTTGTTAATTGTCAATTATCATTTTCACCTCGTAGTACTGTGAATTTTTGTTTGATCTCTGCTTCAGTTTAAGACTTCTGAAACCCTTTGAAAAGTTGGTGAAAAATAAAAGTAGTTTTAATAGATAACTATTAAGTATTTTCCCCCTAGTGTCCAATTTGGTTCTTACAGAAATAAGGCATTAACTACTTCCTATTCAACTTAGGGGGGAAGTGTTCCGTGTGACACATCCAGCAGCAAAGAGCAGCAAAATCCACTAATGGATATCCTGACCCACTTGCAGGTATGGAACTTCTTTCTCTACAATATAATTCTCTAAAATGTTAGGTAAAAATCCTTTTTATCTCAGATAAAGTGTACAATTACCTGAAATTTTGCAGCATCGAATTATTTGCGCTGATCACCCCATTGTGAGGATTTTTAACAATTTCTACTTAGAACAGCATCTGCAGGTAAAAATTTAAAAATAGCAATATATAGATTTTATAGCTTTTTTTAAAAAAAAAAAAAGCCAGTTACTCATCAAATGTAGTTATATCTCCTTCATCTGGAGTGCTCAATATTGAATTAATTTCCACTGCAAAATTTTTTAATTTATTGGCTGAGTTGGATGAAATTTAGTATGTGCCTAAATGCATACGACGATATCTCGACTGAAACAAAATACCAGCCAACCAATAGTTTTTAGAGTATATCTTACGTAGTTTCAAGGTGCTTTTTGTCTTGCTGTTGTTTTAAGTTAGCATGTTGATAGAGATTGATAGAGGTGTGTGTTACCAGTAATTTTGTGAGCTGCATACCCCAGGGAGAATGAAACTTTATAAAAAATAGATGTTTCTTAACATATAAAATTTCTTGAACAAAACGCGCTACATAGTTTGCAAAGTAGAGGTGTTGGGGTGAGTGTTCAGCAGTATTCTTACTGAGATCAGAAGTGGAGTGCTCAGCAAGGACACGTGTTTTCTTGTGGGGAAGGGTGTGCGGAGGCGGGCGGTAGGAGGCAGAGGGCTCTGCTTTGAGCGGGGCTCTCCCTGGCCTGCCTTAGCTTTACCTAAGCATCCTTGAGGCCAAGGTCTGCACTGCTCGGCCAGGGGCCCCCTAGGCAATTGTGCCAGCTCGGGTGGGGTCAGCGTCTGGCATGAGGAGGGCCCAGGTTCCAAAGTCACAACGTGAAATGGGCCATCACGGCTCCTGTCCCTTCTCCAAATAGGCTGGCTCTGTCCTTCCTCCACCTCCTTCCAAAATACTTCAGCGTTGTCGTTTTCTTTTTCCCTCAATGGAGCGCGGCATCCGCTTTAGTCCACCCCATCCCTGTGCAGGCTGGGAGCAGAGGGGACGACGTCCTCCTGTGCGGGCTGTCCCCTGCCTGGTAACCCTCCACCAGCCCAGCCAGCCCCCTGCTCCGTGAGCTCCACACCCTCAGTCCTGCCTCTTCTTTTCTGGAGGCAGTGGAGGGCCTGGAGCAGTGATCCCTTCTGAGTCCTGATTGCTGTCCCCATAGTCAGCACCCTTGCCCGAACCCATCCTTCTTCTGACCCCCTTCCCGACCAGTGTATAGGGAAAGGGTCCTGCGCTGTCCTGGGCTGAGCTCTCACTGGTGTCTGTGTCTGGCCCTCTTCCCTGTGCTCAGAGACCTGCCTCCATCGGGCATCTCTCTGTCTCCAGCCCTGTCCGTATCATCCTTCCCCTCAGCTGACTTTCCCTCAGCTTTAAACACAGAACCACTTGTCCTGGCCTCCCACCCTCTTTAGCCATCGCCCTTGCTCTTCTCCTCTTGATAACCCAGCTCCTTGAATGTCACTTATATCTGCTGTCTGAACGCCTGGCTTCCTGCTCTCTTTCTATTTGGGTATTTTTGAATATGCTGTTCCTTCTGCCCTGTACGCCCTTCCACGTGTCTTCACCAGGCAAATGCCTTCTTATCTTTTATTTCTCATCTTTTCTGAAAAGCCTCCTGTGACTGCCAGCCTGTGGTAGGTCTCCTCTTCTGTGCACGTGTAGCCTCCTGTTCTCACCT